AAAATATGGCGCCGAACATTTTTTGTGCGCATGAACGCTTTATACATGAGGCCCCTTGTGATTATCACATTATGCTGTAATTTATATGTTATGCTTTTGATGGTAAACCATACATACATTTGATTTTCAAATGGAACAAAAGCCAGATCAGTTTGGTAAACCAATAGATGGTTAATATTTAAATGGGCCCCGGGGTCAAAAGGTTAAGAAGCCCTGATCTAGATGATTCAGGAGGAACAATTCGGCTTCCATCATGGATCAGGGAGAATGGATGTCTGCTACAAGCTCTTCATGTTTATACTGTGGAAGTGTCTCCTTGTGTCCCAGTTTGTCTCAATGTGTCCCAGTATTACCCGTGTAGACGAAGCGTCCTGGCGCTCCTTTACAGAACTGCTTGGATTTGTAGGACAACGTGACCTCAACGACCCCGGGGATATGACGGGGTGGAGTCTGGACCCGGATGGCGTGGGGCGTGATCAGCTGGACACAGAGACATCAGAAACACCAGACAGTGTTATTGGACTGTGTCCCCTTTAAATGTAGAGTTCGTCCAATAAGAAATCAGGAGAGCAAGTGTCAGACATGAAGGCCTCACTGTTTCTTCTGACCTGAGACGATAAAACACGATGACCATCTGACTGGGATCTAACTGGTGCTTACTGGTGATGTGACTGGTTGGTGTGCGTTACCTCGCTCCACACCAGCATGGTGCCGAAGACAACCTGGAGTCCATCGAAGAAGTTGTCTCCGATGAGAATGACAGTGGCGCCGCCTGTCGTCCAGCCCTCACTGGGACTGATGGCTTTTATACAGGGAGTGGCTGCTGGAGCACAGACAGACCAGTTAACACCAAACTGGGACAAACTACCTGCTGAGACGACAGTCTGGAGAGAGAAGGTGCTGCGTGTGACCCAGAGTCACCAGCTGGTCACCACTAGAATAGAATAGATGTATATTGGAGCTGTACGTAAATATCTGAGCCTCTGTGCTGAACTTTGACCCGGTGTGGGTCAGAGTAAATCCAGGATCAAGTCGGTAAAGCCTCGTCAGATCCAGGTCTGAAGTTCTACTGCGACCCGCTTTGATGCATCTGGTGACCTGAGAAGGCCCAGAGTCACAGGTTGGAAACCCCCATCTACATAAGAGGACACACAAGGCGCGTCTTAATTGGGTCGTGGTTTTTATCCTCTTTCGCTAACTTCAGCACACACACAGACACACACACACTCAGTAATAGCTGCTTCGCTTTCCTCTCAAGTACAGCTGCAGATTAATTATAAAGTGAAATGAAAGAAAGTGTGAGAGAGAGAGAGAAAGAGAGCAGCTAATCTCATAACTGATAATTTCAAATGACATTACAGCACCAAACTATTCTATTCTATTGTGTTTAGTTTTGCTGTGTGTGTTCTGCTGTTCGGTTCTGATCCATGGACAGTAAGAACAGAACCAGGCCACCGTGGCTGAGTCCACCAGGTGTTCCTAACGAATCTTTGACCCCTTGATGCCTCTCCAACAATCTGCCATTGAGACACATGAGCTGTAGGACCGTAAACCCCCTGAAGGAAAGAGACAGGAGGAAAGGTTCCTCAACAGGGGCAGGCAGCAGGAGACAAACATGGTCAGTAAAGGACCTGCCAACCAATCACAGCCCGGCTGAGCAGCCCGACCAATCACAGCCCGGCTGAGCAGCCCGACCAATCATCACAACTGATTCAATTCAATCCAGTTTAGTTATGCAGCTCCAACTTGCAACAAATGGCGTCTCTAGGCAATTCAAAAATAACCATTTGAACTGATGATTGAAACTGATCCTAGTTATCAAACTGTACAGTATGCTCAATTAATTATTCAAAACAGCTTAAAAACTGTGTAAAGAAAGCCAGAGCCCTGTGGGACTCCACCAGCCACCCTGCTGGTTCACAGATGGGATTTAAACCAGCATACTGCTGTTCCCTTCATGCCTTCATGTTCAAACCGTTCTCAGAGAACAATGTGGTCGACTGGATCAGCACCAGACCTGAGCTCTAACAGAACCAGAACCAGGCCGAGAGAAAAACCTTCATCATGACTTTCAGCAGCGCTGATTCAGAGCTACAACGCGTCTGAAACCCGACTGACACTCTTAACGCAGGTCATTCAAGTTCAGACGCTCAGATTTGGGATTCAGAGCTTTGAGGTTCTGTCAGAGGCTGGGAGGGAAAACCGGCCGATTCAAGAAACAAGCGGGTAGAGACAAGTTGGACCCACGGGACTCTGCAGCACTCAAGGTGGGAGGGGTGGTTTCCATGGCGACTGTCTTTAATTAGGAGGGCAATTAAAGAGGCTGAAAGCACACACACGCACACACACACTCAGTCACGGCCTCTCTGGGGACAGGGGATTTGTCTGGTCTTCTTACCCACAATCCGCTGGGCTGCCTTGTCTATGCAGCTCTGGGTTCCTGCGGCCCAAACGTGTGCAGCTACAGGCACAGCTTCTTCAAGACTGCATTCACTGTGCACCAGGTCAGGTCAACGCCCAACACAGAACCTTCAGCCCGTCCATCCCACACAGAACCAAGCCCACTGGCCATCCTGCCCATCTGGTTCTGATCAGCAGACAGAATTGTATCTGCTTACCCTCAGATGGATCCAATCTTCGAGCTCGGCGGCCATGTTTGGAGTTGTTGTGGACGAACATGTTGTCTGATACAGCGAGAACATGGCCGTCTACGTTGACGGTTGTAGAAACCACCACCTGCAAACAAACAGGCCCATCAGATCCGGCAGAGGATGGTGATCGCACACATCCATTATTCCTCAACATCTACAACGTTCCATGACATCTTCACAGGAACAGCTGCTCTGTGACCTTTAACCTCATCATTGACCAGATCAATAATATAATTTTAATAATATTATTATTCCAAACTGTGTCAACACGCTGCAGTGCATTGTGGGTACGTCAGCCGGTCCAGTGGTCTTACCTGGAACCGCCTCATGTCCCGAGGATTCCCTGCGTTCTTCAGACAGTTCTGGTTACACTTCAGGAAGAACTTCAGAAAGAACCTGTACACACACACACACACACACACCGCTGGTGATTGGTTCTATAGATATTCAGTACAGAACTGGTTGGTCCAATCAGTTTGGCATGTTCAGAACCCGGACCAGAAACCCTGGAGTGACCCTCATCATGCGATTCTTGTTCTCCAGCGCGGAGGGTTACACTTCCTTTATCTGAAGATAAACTTTGATCTGTGATCAGCTGACTAGTCTCATCACCATGGCAACCCTCAGCATCTCTAGCCGATTATCAGCGCTCTACTCTTCACCTCCTTCCAGCGAACAATCGAGCCATAAATCTCCACGCAGGACAGATTAAGCTCTCAATATGTTATGTGATAAGGAGGGACGACCCGACACACACAGACACACACAAGCAAAACACAACACACACACACACACACTCTTGACATACACTTGCTGTATCACCGCTGATATTTACGAGCAGCAAATTAGGACACACTGCAAATTTATCTCCTCAGAGAACAGAAGATCCACATTCTGACACTAAACACACACACACTGTGACACACACTCACACACACGCACACACACACACAAAGCGGCACACTGTGCGACTGCACTTCACTGTCAGGATAATTCATCTTCACACTGTGATACATTTTCTACCTCATAGA